AATAAAACACACATACACACATAATTGAAAAAAGACTGATCATTAGAAGTAGAAAATGAAAAAGACTTGAAACGACACATGAAATAGCGTACAAGTCCATCATTTGTTGTTAGCATCCAGGAGAAAATACATTCACATGGAATAGTAGATAGTCTGTTCATTTGTCTTTTTTTTGTCCGAATGATCGAATTCAATACATATATGTATATGTGTGTATGCCATCTGTGGTAGAAAATTAATTGCAAGATTTGAGAAAAATCACACGTGTTTATATATTCCATATGTATGCCGTATATAAAGCAATTGGAGTGTGTACTTTTCCTGCATTCCGTCCAAATGCCCTATAGATATTCTTCCTAAATAACGAAAACAGAGAATTCAACGAAAGCTATTTTACCGAAACGAAAATGAAGAGAAAAAAAAACAAATACACATTTACTTCATTTCATAGATATAACAAAACACACGAACCAAAATTCACCATCGGCTGGCTCTACTCAAAAAGACCGAAGAAACACGAAGTGTGCATGAAATACGCGCGAAATACGATTAAAAATGTGGTAAAATAAAATGTAATCGTTAAGTCGAGTAAAAGGTAAACCTGAAATATCGCGTGTGTGCCACTGACGAAACCACTCATACATTCGCGCACCAACAGCAGCAGCAGCAGCAGCACACAGCGCTGCTTCCATTACACAAGCTTTTTTATGCTTATTGAATAACTGCATAATATTCAAATTATTTATTCATTCCGTGCTCACATTACTGGTGTGACGACAAAAAAATCATATTCAGTTGCAGTCGGTGCACACACTAATACTTTGTGAGTGTGAATATGCGCTTTATACAGGATTGTGGGTGCAAGCAATGCATGATGGTTTTTTTTTTCCATTTCGCTGCCGCCGCCGTTAATCGAACTACAAATAGATATGGGAAAGCAACTTTATAAGGTGTCTGAATTGTGTAATAGGGATACTAAGCTAACGCTTTATTTTCATTCATTCTGGAATGGAAACGAACATTTTGTTGAAAACCTACATACTAAATCAGAGTATATACCAATTTACAATTTGAATACCAAAACCGTTTCCCATTCAGCGATCGGTAACATATTGTCTTCAGGCGAACACCCAAACCAAACGATACCACAATATGACAGAAAGTAACTGTTGAACAGAAAAAGTAAACTTCATCCAAAAATTTTTTGATCCATTCAATCGGTCATTGTTGGTGCATAGACTGATTAATTTAAAAAAAAAAAAACGAGTTTACGTGTGTATGAGTAAACGTGTGTAAATGACAGCAAGTGGAAAGTTCTCAAAACGCTTTACTTTCAAATTTGAATTTGAGTCAAATTGATTCATTTCACAATTTTCGCCATTGAAATTTATTTGCACCTTATTGTGCACCAGCTTCGTCCAAAATGTGAACAATTGGCTTGTACTTCACCTGCAATTAGTCTTGCTCAAAGACCATGTCGTACGCAATTACCGTACTTTTTTCCTCTCTTCAGATTTTGTTTTTTTCTTGTTTATATGTTTGCTTTTATTTGGTATTGTTTATTTTTCGTCGAGATAATGATTTTTAGCGAGAAATAAAACGAGATCTAATACCAAAAAAAAAGAAGAGACCAAAGAAACTGATCATAGGTTGCATTGAATTCGTTGGTCTTTTTCAGTTTCTGTTTCTGTTTTTGATATGTGTAAGTAAATTCAACATCGTTCGATATGCACAACTATTTTAACGATCTTTACATATAATTTTCGAGCAGCCCAAAAATGAACGACAGGAAAGAGTAAACCAAGGAAAAATAAAATTATCATGTGACGGTCGCAAAAATATATGCGCTGTGCTGTGTATTGTTTGTTTCTTTTCTCCTCTCTTGCGATCATGCAATTTTGCTGATCTTATAAGTCTCTATATTTACATTTAGCGCTCAAGTAAAACATAATCATTGGAGGAGATACATACGAAAGAGATACATTATATGTATGTATACATATATATGTTTTTTTTTTCTTATATACTCAAATTACTTATATCGACTATGTAATAACGAGTCAGGAGAAAGTGATTTTTCTGCGCTGCTTTTGCTTTTTAGGCATATGTTTAGTACACTTTGGACGTGAGCGGCGCGTAAATGCGAGTATCAATGTGTGAATGAGAGAGAGAGAGTGAGCTTACGATTGTATTTATTGTGCAAGTTTGTATTTTATTTTTTAAATAACAACAATCACAGTCAATGCTGTCTTTAATATCAAAATTGTTTTACTCGAAAACTCCATTTTATGCGCTCCGTGTGTTCAACGCATTCTGTGATTACAGTGCAAAAGAGTCTATAATATATTTTTGTACGAAGAAAAGTACAATAGACGGTTTGAAAATAGAAAAGCAAATATGAATACAACACAAAAAATACAGCAACAACAACAACAACAATAATCTTAACTTCAACAACAACACACATTGAATTTATCATAGATTCACGATTTCGAGAATAACGACGACTCGATTTACAACAATGACAGTCTTCTCTTTCGTCTTTGACAACAAAACTTTATAATTTTAAATAGATAAATAACCACTTATATTATGCATTATTATGCCACATCGTTGTCGAATCTCTACTTAGCGCTCAACAAGCCGTGAAAACTAGGCACTGGGAAACCAGAGAAAAATAAAAAACGTGAATAACTAAAATTAAAAAGAAAAAAGTCTCACAAATTATCAAAATGTAACAACAATGCAATTGTCGTCAACAGCTTCTAGCAGCATTTCAAACCCAACTCAAAACGTAATTTTAAACTTGACCCAAAGTTCTAATATTGACTGGAGATGTTCCAGAGCGATTCAAAATATCCATCCGAAAAATTCAACCGCCGTCTATCGATTGACTTCCGTAGAAGATGCTATATATATCAAATGTATTGGCAAAATATCCCTTTTATTTACACCTTGTTTTGAATGCAATCAAAGGTGATATTTGAGGAAAATCATACTGAAGTCAGATATTCCAAGAAGTGTTATGTACAAAACACGTATATAAACCATATAAAACTATTATTCTTTTGTTGACAGTATAACGGATTTCCTAACCTTTATATAAAAAGACGCTTTCGAGTGTTTTTACGTGACATTTTCTCCTTCGGACATTCCACCGTATTAGTCGTTTAAAACACCACACAAACACACCAAATGCTCGCGTACCATATGAAAGGGAAGAAATTTTTGGTGGAAATTCATGTAGCCAAATCCATAGAAATAGAAGAAAAAAAACAAATATATAATACCTGTATTGATGTATTGTTTATACTCATGATATGTGTGGAGGAATACAGAAATATAGATTAGTACCATATAGATACGGTGTATAGATTTACTTTCAAATTTGTGCGCTTGTTTGCTTGGTTGATTTCAATTCTCGCCATATTTTGTTTGGCAAATTCGTAATATGGTTTAGTGCGAATTATCAGTTCCGTTTTTTGGTGGTGCTGTCATCATATTTAAATTTAACATATTTTGATTTGAATAATGTATAGCTGTGCCATATTCGTATCTTAATAACCATCCTAATAATTTTTAGAGATTATTGAGATCCGATCATAATACCGATAAATCTTAATAACGCTATCAACTTTTTATCAGGTTATTAACTATATTCAAATAATAAAGTTACCGAGTGAATCTTAATAATATCGTTTTGAAGTTATTAAGATCGAATCCTGATAATTTATCAACATTCAATCTTAATAATCATCAAGTTCTGGAAGTGGGTTTTGGTGGACCCTCAGGATCGACCAGAACTGCTCCCAGTTCTGGAAGTGGATCTTCAGGATGTACCAGATCCGGTTTGACACTGCCCTTGGCCCATCCTGAAGATCTACTTCCAGAACTGGGAGCAGTTCTGGTCGATCCTGAGGATCCACCAAAACCCACTTCCAGAACTTGATGATTATTAAGATTGAATGTTGATAAATTATCAGGATTCGATCTTGATAACTTCCCAACGATATTATTAAGATTCATCCGATAACGTTATTATTTGAATATAGTTAATATCCTGATAAAAAGTTGATAGCGTTATTAAGATTCCATCATAATAACTATATCGAACGATATTTTTAGTTTATTACGATATCTTGATAAAAAAAATCGTGAGCACAGCTATAGAATAATGATTGTAATCATATATGTATACACAGCGTTTGGTTAAGATATCTATCTTAGATAAGATATTAAGATAAGATAAGATAGATAGTATCTATTATCTTATCTAGATAATTTTTCAAAAATGTCGAAAATCTTATCTATTATGTTTTCAGTTTTTTTTTTCGACTATCTATCTGTAGTTTTTAAGATAAAAATTAAGATATTCATCAAGTAATTGTATCAGAGATTCGATCGATACCGAATGATGATTCACACTACAGATTTGTCCTACTTGTTAAAAAAATATACACATCCCATTTATAGAAAAAAATACACTTCAAAATCAGGGTAAATCACGTAAATCTTCCAACTAAAATTTTTTGTTGATTGGGATATTTTTCAAAAATTAAAGTTTTTTGGCCAATTTTCGTGCATTTTTCACAGAACCAAAAAAAAAAATTGAAGAAAATTCATCAAATTGACGTATGAATAAAGAATGATATATTTCTAAAAAGATTATCTTAAGATAGCTCAAAGATATTCGGAAAAAAGATTTAAAAAAGATATCTAGACAGATTTGGACATTTTTGAGATTATCTCGTTTTTATCTAGATATTTTTTCTGGGACAGAACCAAACGCTGTGTATACATAACTATAGTAATTATTCGAGCGAGAAGTATTGTGATCATATGATTCATCCAAATTGACTATAAAATAATGATAATATCACGAAAACATCGTATCCTACAACAATGCTGACCATTTTTTTGCAAAACCATTTTTTTTTTTGTCAAACAACATCTGATGATCATTGTAGTTAATATATTATTATTTTGGTTCAATATTTCAGTCGTAACCATTCAATCTAAACGCTTCCCGAGAAACAATATGTTGTGTACATGGTTGAAAAAAGAACGAAAGAACACCATAACGGTTCTGTGTGGTAGTGTATAATTGTCATATTTATCTGTGAAGTGTGTTTGAAGTTACCCCCAACCAACCCATGAAAATTCATGTGTGTGTATTTTTTTCTCGTGATTATGTGATTAAATTTATCCAGTGAGTTCACTTAGAAAAAAAAAGTTTTACCAAATATTTGGAAGGGTGTTTTTAGCGCAGAATAAAAAGAAAAATCTGAGAAAATCGAATTATTAAATCCAATAAACGGAAGGAAATTTATTCCATTTCTCGTGTTGATTTGTAAATTAAATGTGATCCCATAGAGTGCACACCATTTTGACACCAGTTCACCAAACACACAACAAACACCAAAAAGGCCCAAGGCTGTTCGACCAATTTTTGTTACCGAGAAAAAGAGACGCCACAGGAACCCAACTCAATATACAAAGAAAAATTATCAACGCATCGCTTCCACGATTTGAGACGTATACATTCCATTTATCTCAACTGGAAAAACAATTTGATAGACAAAAGCAAACAAATAGTCACATTGGTGAGTTTAATTACATAAACCGTTCCATTTCTCGGTACTTTCTATAACAAAATCAAATCTGATGGGTTTTGAAAATCAAGAATAGCACACATTCAAATAATATGAACAATTGCAATTGGGAAAGAAATTTGAGTCATTTTGTGATACAATATCTAAACAGAAAAACCTACAATTCGGCAAACATTCAACATGTTTTGCGTCGTATGAACTTTTTTTATGATTACATCAAGTACACGCAAACATATAGTATGCATGCTTTCATTCGCGCTTATGAAAAGAATTTCTTTTAATCCGGACATTTCATTCCATGCATTGAATTCAGACAGCCAAGAAACGCGTTCGCCATCAGGTTTTGTTTCTCCACGCATATTTCGTATATGCCAAATGTATGTCATGTTTACTTGCGAAAGTTAGATTATGACCAAACTGTGAGTGCACTCATCTTTTTTTAACACTTTGAAGTTAAAAATACCTTTGAAGGAACAAATGGTGAAGAGTACAATTTGGACGTGATGTTGAGCATGAAATTTAATGTAGCTGAAACTTTTTGAATAGCGCACGTACTAAACACATTATAGCACTGCGCGCAAATGACAAAAAGATCATTGTTAAAATAAAATGAAAACAAAAAAAGAAATGGCATTCGAACTTTAGACAAAGTAAAAAGAAGTGATGTGCATAAGTGGTTGATGACATGGTTTGAATCCAAGCAATTAGAACAAATTATGTTGCGGAAGGTATGTTAAATTGTGTTTACCTTGTCGCTGACATACTTTCTTTCAGTTGAGTAACATAAGTTGCTTCCTGTATTACATGTGTGCATGCGTAAAACTGGTCTGCTGAAAAAAGACAAGAAAATTTGCTTTTTTTATGAATGACAAGTGAATACACTGTTTTTAAAAAAATGGAACGAAACCAGTCTTTCAACCAAAGTTGCAAATTAAGCTCATATCAGTCTCGATATCGGTTTTAATGTAAAGAAATTTCGATATGCACGCCGTCTCTATCTAAATTTTACTGCTAGCAAGAGTCACCACCCTTTGTGCATCAACTTCCATGAATTTGACGATTTAAAAAAAATTGTAAAACAGTTAATGACGAGATACACTCACTGCCGCTAATTGCCACGTTCCAATTGCCGATGACAGAAAATAAAAAAAATAAAAAATAAACGCACAGCAACACACCTTTTAATAAATTTTTTACCCATATTGGTGATCTATTATGGTTGTGAGCAGAAAGCATACGTATTATTGCAAATGGTTTGTTGATCACATCAACATCATCGGCGTCGTCATGCATATGGGGAAAGGCATACGGATAGATGGTAAAAAAATGTATCTGCATTCACCGAAAGATACATATTTACGGAATACTAACATGAAAAATTGATAGTTTATTATCTGTTTTATTTCTGCAACACCGTTTCCGACCCACAACTGTAATACTTTCAATTGAATACTGCATGCAGCTTTTGTTTTCGATTTTTATTCACTCAATTCCTCATAATGAAGACCGATCACAGGGCGTATACAATTCAAAACAAAAAATGTATGCGTGTTTAATACGCAACAAGATTTATTTTCTTTGTTGTTGGTGGTGTTTTTTTTTTTCATTGTTTCAATGCATATCATCGTATTGTTTCACTGCCCTTTTCCTTCTTTTAATTGGTTTTTCTGCATCATCTCCATCTTTTTTCGTGAATCATTCAAATCAAACGTGGAAGAAAAACGAAATGCTACCAAACGCATTGCACTACATATTACGAATATTGTTTCGAACTATCTAAATTATAAACTCGTGATTTTTGTGTGTACGGATGTTTTCGGATCATTACATTGGCAAACTAACTGAATCTTCCCGTAGCTTTCAGTCACACACAAACGGAATAAAACTTTACCATTGTTATATTATTTTTGTTCGTGAGCGATCTTTTGCAGAAACATTCGACAAAAAAAAATCGCACATCTCATTTTAATATGGCAAATATCAACTTAATTTCTTAATAATTGTTATGAACAATGAACAAAACAACAGCACCACATAATTTGTTGATATATATTGTTCAAGTTGCTTTTAACTTCATTCGTTTGTTCCGAAGCTCAACTTATTTTTCTTTTCATTAAATCTACTTTCTTTTGTTGGGTGCTTTTTAATTTTATCTCATCTCTTTTGCGATCCTCATACCTATCGCAACGCAAACCAATGAGCTACAATGTCTTCCGTTTCAATTAAAATTGTGGGTCTATGCAAATCGGAAGCAAACTACAAATTGCGAGAAATTAACTAAAGACGTGTGACTATGTTTAATATCCATCTGCATATAGAATTATGTCGATAGGCAACTTCAGACGTGTCTTTCGTAAACAAAATAGGAAGATCGCGTCGGCATATTATACTTATATACCGATGTCATTTCAGACTTATCCACCTTTCACTTACTTACTAGTGTCGCGACGCAGCGACAGACATAAATGTGCTTTCATTGAGTAAAAAAACTGGGCATATTATTGTTGATTCGAAATTAAAATATCAATTCTGGTGAATTGATAAATAAAACCAAACCACGTAAGAAAAACCAAATTTAAAAAAACTGTCACCGATTTACTTAATTCACAATGCCCAAATATTCAAAAGGCGTTCGGATTAAAGTTGATATAGCCCAAGGAATGTTTAGAATTGATTAACTCCAAGCCGGCAGTAAATGCTACAATGCTCAGATAATTCACATCAATACAAAGGTGTGGCAGTTCACCAAATATTGCTTATTCTGAACATGAAATTCTTTTCATGAGTGTGTTGTTTGTTTGGCATAGACCAACTGAAATTCATTGGTAATACCAGTTGCTTTCACACGTCCAATCATAAATTCTACATCGTGACATAGAATATATAATTGATTTTACATCATAGTAATCATTAAAATTGAACAACAATTGATCTGACTGTTGCATATTCTGTCTGCTAATTGATCAGATGAATACATATTGAACTATTTGACATAGAAATGCTTATTCATCGGTAAAAATGGTATTTTTGATGTATTGTTTATTTATTGAGTATATGATGAGTTTGCCATGGTCTTCTTTACACCATTCAATGATATTTCGATTTACTTTTCTGTGCTCTTATGTACATACATATTGTTTGGTCAAGGTTTATTTTATATAAACAAAACCCAAATTTATAGTGAATATAACAATGGGTCGTACTACTACAGTAAATACACTACAATCCATTGAAAAGTTATAGCTGAATGAATTGAAACCGATTTTTCAGCAACACTTTGTGAAATCGTTTGCAAAAAAAAAATGGCTCAGTGTATTTAATTAATGCTAGTCTCGGAGAAATTTGATTCGGTTTTATTTTGTACAATGTATAAGTTTCAAATCGTAAAGAACAAGATTTTGACCGGTGCTTTTGATCGATTGCGTCATTTTGATTATTTTACAACTATTTGAATTATAATATAGGAATTAGATTACATGTTTGGTGATTTTTAGTATTATTATTTTTTTTACTAAGAATTTAGAATACTATTATCTGAATAATGGTGCGTCTGAATAATTGTATGATTAAAAAGAATATATAAAATTATGATGAAAATTTGACAAAAAATTCACAATGAAATTCTTTTGAATAAAAACTTTGAATTTATTTTCCATTGTAACGGTTGAGTGCATAGAGCTATGTAAAATTCTGTGATTGATTATTTGTAGAACCGATTGAACCGTTGATAATACAGAAAATGTTTCTTCAATTTTGCAGCATAAAAGCAACGGCGTAACTTCAGAAAGAAGAAGGCAGTAAAATGATGAATTGGTACATACTCATAGTGACATGGACACTCTTGTCTACCTGTTTAGCTTCACCGGATGTAAGTACTTGACAATATTTTTTGTATTTTTCTTCGGATTTGATCATTAAAATTACTTTGAATGTTAAAATAACATTGTTCTAGGAGGAAATTAGCAATTTTCAAATCTCAGAAATGACATTGTTCGAAACTTTCATGCCAATTGCTTCTATACTTTTCAGTTTTAACGAAACGTTAGCGTAAATGACATTTATATCCAAGATTCATTTCTGCTCGAAACCAAAGCTATATTTTTAATATAAACCACCATCAAGTTGAGTTGATGTAGATGATAATTTTTCTGGTCAGCAAAATTATTATAAGAATGGTGACCATTCAAAGAAAAAAAATGTATGCATATGTGCCATTTGTCTAATGTCATTTTTGTTGAATGCGTGGCCACAGGACGACCATGTCAATGTTGAATGTAAAACTGGAAAAAACATCGTAAATAATATAACAACAACATTCGGCACAGAGGCAATACCATGCCTAAATATATATATGTAAACATGAGCGTTTTCACATAACCTAAAAATTAATGACCTTCAGAAGACTTGACAAACGAGTACAAATACTATACATGAAGGCGAACAGAGTGTATGCAAGTAACGGGTATGTTAAAAAAAAAAACTGAAAAAGAGGAAAAATAGTGCTCGATTTGAACAAATACACGCTCTTAGGTACTGAACAATTGTTTTTACAAATGATTTAATTTAAAATTCGTTTTTCTTCTTCTACTGTTGCTGTTGCTCTGCCACAGCACACGTTTAAATAGTTTCGTTTGCATTTTAAGGTTGGTCACTGTGCTTATGTGTCAATTGACATATACATATTTTGGAATAATCGCACACATGAATACATCGAATTCGTGTAACAATTGCGAATAGGTTGCATGAGAAAATTTGAATTCATTTATAAGTGAACTTGGATCGCGTGGTTCGTTAAGTTTATGTCAATTCTTTGCGGATAAAGAATTGTAAAAAAAGTTTATTTGTCATTCATCTCATGATCACAATCCACTGCGCAAAGTTGTTTCTCTTTC